CTGTGCAGGGTCCCCGGATTGGGGCCCAGCCGGGGTGCAGATGTCTGGTGCTGCCCCTTCCTTCCTGGGGAGAAGCTGGCCTCGCCTGGCCCTGCAGCCGCGGAGCACGAGGGGTCTGGGCTCGCCATCCTGCCATGACAGCACTCCACAGCCCAACTCATCCCGCAGCTTCTCTGAACGCCTGCTTTCCCCATCTCATCACCCTGAGCCGCGTCTGCAGGGCCACAGGGGTATGCTGCGCAGTTGGTTACTAGAGCCTCCTCTTGTCCCCGGCTCCACGGGGCCCCTTTGAGGGTTTCCAGATTAAGCACGATGCTGGCTGTTGTTCTACAATTATCAGTGGATGTCCACGTGTGTACATATTCACCACATTAAGGAATCGTCTGTTCCTGGCTGCTTGTTGAAGTGTGACCACCATCGCTCCCCCTGGTGTCCAGGCTTCACTGGCCGGTCCCATCGGTCTGGACACATCGCTGCCCTTTCACTTGCCAGGTGTGCACAGAGCACCCTCCCTGGGCAATGTGACCTGGGGGGACCCTCGGGTGGAGACGGGGCTGAGCTGTGGGAAGGAGCCCGGGTGCAGGGTCCACGCTGGGGAGACAGGAAAAGACCCATTCCTCGTCCCATCTAAGTCTTTTCCTTTCTAAACAACTTCACTTCTAGCTGTTGTTCCTGTGTGTTTGGTTGCTTTTCTCATTTTATGGTTTCTGTGGGTGTGTTTCCTTGCTCTTTCCCCTGGTTTCTCATCCTTCCTGTGTGACTTTGTCCCCTGCTCAGGTCTGGGGCCCTTACTTGGATTCGGGTGGTGTCTGTCTGTCTCTGGATCCACTGTCTGCACTGGGCCAAACTGAAAGGAACGGAGGTGCAGGCAGCAGGGGGACAGGCAGGGCCTTCTCGGCAGGAGTGTCCAGGGCCCCTGAGTCCGGGAGGGGCCGAGAAAGCGCTGAGGTCGGGCGAGGGGTCCCCATGGTGCACCACCTATCCCCTGGGCTACCCCAAGCTCCTGACAAGGCCTGGCCTGTTGGCGCTGCCTCTGCCGAGTGTGGAAGGGCCGAACCTCATATTTTCCTTCATTCTCCGCCTTCACCTTCTCAACATCAACAGGAGAGACCACACCTGAGCTGCATGTGCGGTGCTGGGATGGGGAGGTGTGTCAACCCCACAGGACAGCTCTGGGTTTGGGGTACAGGACCCACAGCCCTGCGCCCGCGGCCTCCTCCTGCCTGCGGGCAAGGATGGCTCTCACCCTCGCCTCCTGGGGGCTGAGGCCGGCAGCTCCTTCTCGCTGGAAGGAAGAAAAGCAGAGCCCTGAGGACCTACCCCAGGCTGGCAGTCAGGGAAGGACCAGGCCCATCCCCAGGACCCCAAGTTGGGCCCTGGAGACTCACAGGGAGGGCTGACCCCGGAGGGAGCCAGGATGTGGGCAGAGGGAAGGCATGGCGGCCAGGGACCTGTGGCCGGGGGAACACCCTCCCCGCGAGCCTGAGAAGCATTGGTGCTGGAACGGGAGGTGACCTGTCACTGTCCTGGGGTTGGGCTGGCCCCAGAATGCCCTGTGTGCCCATCCTGCCAAAGTCCCCATGTCCCCCACAGGGTCTGACCGTCCGGTGTCCCCCTGCCTCTGCCTGCAGCTGGCCGCCCACCCTCCAGCCCCGACTCCACCCATCTCTTGTCATCACTTCAGCCCCTGAGGCCCATCTTTCACGCTTGTCTCCTCAGAACCTCCCAGCATGAGCCACCTCTGGTGGGTCCAAACCGCTGCTTGTCACTAGGCCAGGAGTGGCGACTGAGGGCCCGCAGGCAGGCGGGTGGGCCCCCGGCCACGTCGTCAGCCTCCTTCCCTCCCAGGGTGGGGTCCCCACACAGCCTGCTGCACCCTCTACATTCAGCCCTCATCCCCCAGGGCAGCCTCCTCCCTGTCGTCCCTGCTCCTGCCATGCTGCTCCTCCACTCTCTCTGCTCCGCGCCCTCCCCTCCTGATCCTGACACCTCCGTCGAGGTTTCTCCCTGCAGTTCTGACCGGCAGTGTCTCCAGAGAGCACTGCAGAGGCCTTGGGACTGACCGAGGCCCTGGCTCAAGTGTCTCAGGTGATTCCCTCCCCGGGGCCTTACCCTGTGCCATGCTGTCCTCCCTCAGAGAGGAGGCCCCATCCCAGGAGCCCAGCGCCTTTGGCCCTGCCCCAGGCTAGCTCCATCCATGTGCACACATGCCTCACCCAGTCCCATCTCCCCCAGTCTCCCCTTCTCTCCCCCAACCAATGCCCGGCCTCCATCCTGAATCTCCTCCCCGCACCAGACCAGGGGCTCAGGTCATCTTCAGCTGCCTTCACACTCCACCTGCCTCTGTCCCCTTCCCATGAGATCACCAGGCCAGGGCCTGCCTGAACGCTGCCCCTGCCTGTCCCCTCAATGTGTGAGGCCAAGCCCCTCACTGCCATGCCCCTCACTGTCCCTGGTGCCTGTCCCCACGGGGCCACTTGGCTGGGCCCACATGAGCCCTTGGAGACCTGCTGGACAGCTGCCCCAGGCTGGGCCAGGCGCCCCTCACTCTGTGGCCACAGCTGTGGAGCCCCTGCTGACCAGGCTGGATGCAATCTGCCCGGGGGAGGCAGACACCATCATGCCCTCCCTCATGCAGGTGTGGAGGCGACACTGCTGAGCAACCAGGCGCCTGGCCCAGAGCCCAGCTGCACCCCCTACCCCAAGTTCACCTCTGGGTCTCTCAGCTCAAGCCTACTGCCGACCCCGGACTGTGATGGGCACCTGGGGATGAGACTCTGTGCTGAGGAGACGGGTCTTGTCTCCAGAGAGGTGTTTCTGCAAACAGAAACCACGCCTGAGATGAGATGGGGGGTGTCCAGATGACTCACTGCAGAAAACCGAGACGGTCAGGAGTTTGCACAGCGAGAGGTCAGCATCTTCCCGAGGTTCCACTGGTGCCCCTGCTTGGCGTCCCTGCACCCCAGAAGGGCCACCGTGGTGAGGGCACAGCAGAGCCAGGGATGTGGGGGCAAGGAGGGAGCAGGGTGGCTCCTCCCTCCCCTGCATCCTGAGGGAGCCCAGGAACCTCTGACAAGGGGCACAGCCTGAGGGGCAAGGATCCACCTGCCTGAAAGGGAGCAGCCTGACAGCCTCACCTGCTCCTACAGGCTGTGATCCCACCTGGGCCTCAGCTGCTCCTAATGGCCATGATCCCACCTGGGCTTCACCTGCTCCTAGTGGCCATGATCTCCACCTCGGCCTCACCTGATCATTCTGGGCTATTATGTCTGCTCATTCCAAGGCCAGCCGGGTGTCCAGGTCCTCTTTCAGGTCTAACATGCAAGACAAAAAGAATCCAAATATTACACTGCACTGAAGAGCTTCAGAGCACAAACAAGCCTGCTCCCTGCGGCAGCTCCCCAGTCTGTCTGATCAGAGGGCGTGAAAACCCCGTAGCCAGGGTGGTTGACATCCAGCTTGGTGGATCATAGGTTCACACTCACACTTTCTAACACTCCCGCTTACAGGCTACCTTCCCAGCCCCCTGGAACTTATGTCCTCATGAGATTACCGAGTTCTCTTCAGAGTTATGAGGAACAATAACGTGGACCTGGCGGGCTCAGATCAACTGCTGACCAGCAGTGCAGTGTGCAAACTCCCAGCCCAGGGCTGGCACTGAGGAAAGGAGTGTGCAGCCGTCGGCTGATGAGGGGGTTCCTGCAGGCTTACTGGGAATCAAATTTTGCGCTTAGACACCAAAAGCACAAGCAACAAAAGAAAAAAATCAATAAACCAGACTTCATCAGAATTAAAAACTTCCGTGCTTCAAATGACACCATCAAGAAAATGAAAAGACAACTCACACAATGAATGAAAATATTTGTGAATCACCTGTCTGATAAGGGGTGTAGTATAAAAATATATTAAAAATCCAAAAGTCAACAATAAAAAGACAAATAGCCCAATTTGAAAACGGACACAGGGCTCAGGTGGACATTTCTCCAACATGATTTACAAACGGCCAACAAGCACAGAAGAAGATGCTCAACATTAGCCATCAGGGAAATGCAAATTGAAACACAACGAGACACCACTTTTCACTCATTGGAAGGCTTTACCAATAAAATGGAAAGGAACAAGTATTGGTGAGGATGTGGAGAAATTGGAGCCTCCTGTATTGCTGGTGGGAATGCCGAATGGTGCAGCTGCTGTGGAAAGCAGTTTGGAAATTTCTCGAAAGTTAAACATAGAGTTACACATGACCCAGCAATTCCACTCCTAGGTATATGCCCAAGGGAAGTGAAAACATGTCCTCAGCAAATATTTGTACATCTATGTTCCTAGAAGAACTACTCACAATAGCAAAAAGTTGGAAACAACCTAAGTGTCCACAGATAGATGAATGGATAAGCAAAGTGTGGTCCATACATGCAATGGAAACTTAACCACAGAAAGGAATGAAATACTGATCTGTGCTACAACACGGATGAACATGATGCTGAGTGAAAGGAGCCAGACACAAAAGAGCACATATTGTAGGGTTCCATTTTTATGAAATGTCCAGAATAATCAGATCCATAGAGACAGAAAGTGGATCAGTGGTTGCCAGGGGCTGGGGGAGGGGGGAGTGGACGTATCTGCTGATGGGCAAGAGATTCTTTATGGGACGGTGAAATGTAGTGGAAATAGTGATGATTGCACAATTCTGTAAATATTCTAAAACCCACTGACGTGTGTACTGAAATGGCTGAATTTGATGGTTTGTGAAGTTAAGAAAATCCACTTGCAGAAACACATTCCCACCGTCTCAGCCCCAGGAACCCTGAAGGTGGGAGTTGGGAAAGGGACGTAGACTGAGAGAACTGCCAGGGGCCTTCCCAGCCACGGACACCACTTTGTTCCTGCCCTCTAAGTTCCTCCCTGGCCCTGCACTAACCGGGGGATGTCCCTGCTGAAGGAGGGTTTGGAGACCAGAGGTCCCTAGCACCAGGCTCCAGGAGGTTCCACAAACCAGGCAAATGCCCAGTTCTTCATAGGAAATGAGAACTCTCATATCTACGCCATTCTACTAAGTCTTAACTGGTTCTAGCTGGTGAATCAGCTTAGAGAACACCACCAGCCAATTGGGAGGGCTTGAGTTTGGGGAAAAGGATTACATATTTGACCTCAAGCAGCCTCTGTGCTTGTGAGACCTTCTCTCAGGTGGAGGGACCCTGGATTTCACAATTGTGAGCAAGGCAACAGGAGGAGGGGCTTCATTTTCCTCAGTCACGGTGAAGAAACACATTAGCTGGTGGGACTGGAGGTCCTGGAGACCACCCAGATGGATGATCCAGCAGGAAGCAGGCCTTGGGGCCTGGGGCGGCAACACGTCCAGAGACGTGGGGACAGGGCTGCACTGGGGGAGCCCCTCTGTCCCCACCCCAGCCCACAGGATGCAGAGTTGTCACCCACCGGGTGTCCGTGAGTCTTGACAGGCTGGAGAGGTCAAGGCTGGAGTCTAGCACGACACAGAGGAGCCCTTCTGAGTGAGCGGCAGGGCCCTGGGCGAGTTGTCCAAGCTCTGACCTCCTCCTC